CAGTCGGGTTATCATACGTCTAGACTAACACAAACCTTACGCTGTCAGTCGGGTTATCATACGTCTAGACTAACACAAACCTTACGCTGTCAGTCGGGTTATCATACGTCTAGACTCACACCAACGTTGCGTTGTCAGTCGGGTTTTCATACGTCTAGACTAACACCAACGTTACGCTGTCATTGGGGTTATCATATGTCTAGACTAACACCAACGTTACGCTGTCAGTCGGGTTATCATACGTCTAGACTAACACAAACCTTACGTTGTCAGTCGGGTTATAATACGTCTAGACTAACACCAACGTTACGTTTCAGTCGGGTTATCATACGTCTAGTCAGACACCAATCAACGTTATGCTGAAAGTCGGGTTAGCATACGTCTATAGAATAAAATCAACGTAACGTTGTCAGTAGGGTTATCATACGTCTAGTCTACACCAAACAACGTCACGTGGTAAGTCGGGTTATCATACGTCTAGACCAATACCTACGTTAGTTGTCAATCGGATTATCATACGCCTAGACTAACACTAACGTTTTGCTTTCAGTCGTGTTATCATACGTTTAAACTAACACCAACGTTACGCTGTATGTCGATACATCATACGTCTAGAATAACACGAACGTTACGTTGTCAGTCGGGTTATCATACGTCTAGACTTACACCGACGTAACGCTGTCTGTCGGGATAGCATACGTCTAAATTAACACGAACGTAAAGTTGTCAGTCGGGTTATCATACGTCTAGACTAACACCAACGTTACGTCTTCAGTCGGGTTATCATATATCTAGTCTGACACCAACCAACGTTATGTTGTCAGTCAGATTATCTTACGTCTAGACTGACACCAACGTCACGTTGTCAGTCTAGTTATCATACGTCTAGACTAACACCAACGTTACGTTGTCAGTCTGGTTATCAGGCGATGTGATTACTTGGACACCCCCATGAGGGGCCTCATTTCTTCGTGAGCAATGTATTATGATCAGGATCTTCTGAAATCATGAATTTGATGATCGATTTTACAATATCTGTGTCTTTACTAACGAGAGACTTGTTTTGGCGGTCTTAGATATTAATATACACGAATAACAATCCGATCCATACATTTACCAACCAATAAATACACAACAGGAGACGCTTACCCTGTGAACTCGCTCAATTTTTAGTAAATGGGATTTAAAAACAACAAATTTATTTGGTTTCAATATTCAAAAGACTTAAACATCAGTACTCTACTATTTCCTTGCGCATACGGCATATGTTAATGTTATTGATAAATGAACAAATCATATTTATCAAAACTTTCCATTGTGGCATCAGTTTACATGTCGTATTTGATATGTTTGACCACAACTAACATGCGTATTTAATGAACAATAAGGTTTAACAGCCGTTTCGAAAAAGATACTTGAAACACACCCACAGTTTTGTAAAGGACATCTTGCCAGTTTTTCATTCTAGGATGAGATTATTGTTCAAACATAACTATTGATTGAAAGATATCAAAACAAGGCAAACCGTGACCGTGTTTGGACTTCGAACTTTCGAACATGTTAATTACTGATATCTGACAGATTGATGCCGAGGCCTCTTTTTTTTTAGCTTACTATACGATATGATTTTTGATCATTGTTGAAGTTCATACGAACACCAATAGTTGCTTACATCTACGTCTTCTGGTCCCTGGTGTATTAGAAAATTTGACAGATTTGTAATACTTTGTGATATTTGTGAATTTAAGGGACTAAAAATATGTTAGTATCATAATATATTTCTTCTACTTACCAAAGATTCTATATATTAATACAACATATAACTGACAATAACAGACTGTGATAAAAAAAAGTAGTAAAGGGTTCCATACAAAATATAATCGCCTTTTTGCAACAATTGCATGATATCATAGCTCTTTCTTTAAAATTTTGACGTCAAACGCGAAAAGGTCTGACGCAACAAAGATAAAGTAATCTATGTATGGCATCAATATGTCACACGTTGTAGACACTCAAATAACGGTCAGGTCTATTATTGCTAACTGAATATTTGTTTTAAGAGTGGAAAAATGGAGAAAAACAGCTGTCATCTTGTCGTTCAATGTCTTTTGTAAACAATATCTGTAATTGGTAGTAACGAGTTGCATGTCGTTTGTTGCTGTATTTTGTTTTTCGTTTATTATTTTGTACATAAATCAGGCCGTTAGTTTTCTCGTTAGAATTGTTTACGCTTTTCATCTCAGTGCCTAATATAACTTGCTATGCGGTATGGATTTTGCTCATTGTTGAAGGCCGTACGGTGACACATAGTTGCTAATTTGTACGTCATTTGGTCTCTGATGACGAGTTGTCCCATTGGCAATCATACCACATCTTCTTATTTGTATTCAAGTTTCAATCGTTTAATTCATTACATTGAACAAATGTTTAATTTAATATACAAGCATAAAACAGCATATGCCCGAATAACAAATTTCTAACGACCATGAACATTCACTGGTAATGATAGTTGCCATTGTTCCTCTAGCCACGTGACCTGGAATGCATGACAATGCATTATGGTATAAACTGTTTATTTGATTCATTAAATACATTAGGAAATGTTGATAATGTCTATTACATCAATCGATAGTTATTTACTATTCACACATGACCAGCTATTTTTTTAACACATACAGTAATTATCTTATTGACGGGGTTAGTCTCCGCGGTATCTGTTAACCCATAGACCAATTATCTTATTGGCATATTACGAATACGCTACACACAAAGATGGGGATGGTCAAACATAAAAAAGATAAACATATTTACTGAATAAACTAAAGGTCAATAACGTCCAATGTTGAAGATCAAATTTAGCTGACAATTTAAAGTAAAAGGATTTAGTACTTTCTGAAATTGAACAAAACAAATTAATGTTGTTTTTTTTTCAAAATTGAGAAACAAAAATTAAAATTTGTTTACATCATAAAGCTAATGATCAGATTTGGCGACCAAAACCGTAAGTTAAAAGACAAACGAGATCATGATCAATAGAAATAAAACATGATTTCGGGGTTGAAGCTACGATATGTAGAAAAAAATTGAAAACAACACGTTATTAATTTCATGCGTTCGAAGCGCTTTTCTGGATTTACCTTCATCAGGAACGCTCAAAGCCAAATATTTGAAATCCGAGGGATGTATAAGAACAGACACAGTTGAAGAGCTATATGTCAAAAAAGGACATAAAAAAATAGCCAAATTCATCTAAGGTCAACTTTACCTGAGGGAGTTAAAACCTTAGTTTCTTTATAATTTTAAAATTTATACATGTTATAAACAGACAATTTTAGAAAGGTTTTTACAAATCATGTCTGTACCGAATTACTGATTACTGAGCTGATGATACCCTCATCGACTGAGTCGTTCAGCAGAGGTTGGACATAGCCATGTTCATTGGGATAGATGCCATTAGCATAGCCACAAAACTATGAATTATTGAATTGAAGAATAACGAAAAGTTTTCCATTTTTTTCATTTGACGTTTTAATAAATCTAGGTATTGCCATATCTGTTACAGTTCCATTGAAACCATTTATATCTTGCCTGCTATTATTCATTTAAATAAAAAATAATAATATCCAAATTGTGTGGCATATCTAACAAAATCTGTATTCTATTCAGTGGATACAATATTTATTAACACAGATATTGTTTAATCAAGGCCATGATAGTACTCATTAGATATTCTTGAAGCAATTAAATCTTAGGGATATGCAACCTTGTTAAGAATAGTTAATTTTGTACTATTAATGCAATAAACCTTCTGTATTTATTACATCTCAAATACCAGCCAAAATTACGAACACTGCTTCGTCATAAAGGACTATTTAAAAAGGATAAATTAGTGGTACATGTGTAACTTAGTGGTACATGTGTAAATTAGTGGTACATGAGTAAATTAGTGGTACATGAGTAAATTAGTGGTACATGAGTAAATTAGTGGTACATGAGTAAATTAGTGGTACATGAGTAAATTAGTGGTACATGAGTAAATTAGTAGTACATGTGTAAATTAGTATTGTTGCTTCTCAGGTTTTCTGGTTTTCAACTAATATATTGAACGCCTCTCGCTTTTTCCCTGTCTATAAGATTAAAGTACCCAGTAACAACCACATTCGCAGATGTTAAAAATTTAAATCTCGAATACTCTTCTGGTTAAGAGTTTTGAAAATCTTATTATTGCTTGCAAGTGCATATATTTTTTGGAATATAAATAAATATTTGTTTTAACCTATACATAATCAAAGCATATCTTTTTCTGCAAAGCTTTCTAATTTCTCATGTGCTTTTATATGACAATTAAGCACAAAGTCATGTTCTATTTTTCCCGCCAAAAATTATATTTTCAGATGCTTTACAAATATCTATTAATGTATGAAATGTATAAGTTATTGATTATTTTGCTATCGTATAATATACATGTAGGCACATGGCTTTACATTACACAATTTACACATACATTACTTATTCAAATGCATATAATCGCTATTCTCTAAAATCTTTTGATTGATACATATTCCAAACCAAATGATTGATCTGCAAAAGTTAAACAGTAACAAAATGAAAAGCTGAAAAGAAACAGTGAAAGAAATTACTACAGACACACGAAACTGTATGTGGAGCACAAAAGCCAACATTGCAATGTCTAAAAATCATCTTAAACTAATAATCTTTATAGCTCACTCTGCGGTATGGGTTTTGCTCATTGTTGAAGGCCGTACGATGACGTATACTTGTTAGCTTCTACGTCATCTGGTCTCTGGTGGAGAGTTGTCACATTGGCAACCATACCACTTCATCTTTTCTTTATATTTGACCGCGGATTAACTTTAATCTTGAAAATGACATTTAGTTCTAAATAAAAATCATTGTATATCATAATAGAAGAAACATTGGTAATAACTAAAATATGCGTTTTAAAATTTTAAGTACATTTGCTCTTTTATTTATTTCAGGCATACATTTCCTGCACATTGGGAGTAACAAGCATTGGACCTGTTATGATATGTTTTGGTGCAGTCAGTTCTGTTAGCTGTATTTTGATTGGTTGCATAGCCAGTCGCCATATTAAAAGATTTGCTTTCATCAGCGCAGGCGCAACGTTTAATATTGGTCTACTGATAGTATTATGGTTATGGAAACCGTCTACTCTAGATATTCCAAATTTTTTCGTGGTAGCAGCATGTTTAGGATTGTGTGATGCTATCTGGCAAACACAAACATACAGTAAGTTAATGCTATCAAAAATTGTATCAAGAATGTTCGCTGCTCTTGTTTTTGACTTTTTGTCAGATTTCGGAATCCTCTGGTTTTATCCATGTAGTGATATTAAACATATTGCCCGCTAACCCCTCCTTTTCTTTTTATAATTTAATAACATATAGTTTGAGAGCCATTTTTGAAAATCTCATCAAATCAATGTTATTTTTTCATAGTTTTTGAAAGGAAAAAGGTTCCACTGTTATATGTATGAAAAATCTAGAGAAAACCATTTCCCGCGAAATTTCCATTAGCTTATATCTCAAAAACAAGGACGCGGACCTAGTATATTTTTTCTGCTTTTTCCATTCCATTATTTATATACTATCAATCTATAACAGTCTTTTAAAATGCTTTTTATTTCAAATTAGAGGAGCGAACATCCTTAAGCAGAAAGTGGTAAACATGAATAAATTGGTCAGCAACCCAATAAACAAAAGGAGGCAATTAAAAAACAGACATTGACAGAATTGTTGTTGCTTACAACCTTGTCCTTTGGTCTCTGGCGAATAATTGTCACATTGGCAATCATACCATATCCCACGATGGCAATACAGTCTACCAAATTATCAATAGAGTGTAATAGAAAAGACTATTCGGCAAAAAAATATAAGAAGATGTAGGGTATATGTAAAACACACAGAAACACAGCAGTCCTTCAAAGGTTTGATTGATTGATTGGTGTTAAATGCCACTTTCAGCACTATTGGCTTTTTCGTGGGGGTCAGTTTTTTTTTTGGTTGAGGAAGCCGGAGTGCCTGGAGAGAACCACCGACCTTCGGAAGGAAAACTGACAATCCTCTGTCAATTAAGATTGGATGCGAGCGCACCTGCCACGTGCGGGGTTCGAAGTCACAACCTCAGTTTTGACAGGCTCGTTGTTGAAGGCCGTACGATTGCCTATAATTCCATATATCCACTTCATTTGAACTTTTTTACCATTTTACATCGGACAACGTATATTAATGAGGGAGATTGTTTATCTGAAATATTTCTTGGTTTTTCCATACGAAAAGATATTGTAAAGATATTAAACAATAAATATATCTGACCCAAATAATCATTAATTGATTTCTATGGAAAAGTTAGTATACTTCACTTTTGTACTAACTTAAATGATATTCTAAAAATAAGACGCAAGATACCAAAGATACAATAAAAATTCATAAGTCTACGATAGACTGATAAACACTATGACAAAAACCGAAAAACGAAAAAAAACGAAAAGAAATTGTTTACGAAACACTACACAGAAAATTAAAGACTTAGCAACACAAACCCCACAAACATCGAGGGTGATCTAAGGTACCGCACGTTGTTCATCGTAAGTACCAATTCGGTGAATTTGCAATTAAAAAAGAAGACGGAATTGTTGCTACGAATATGTGACACAGGTATTCCCTAACGGACAGCCAAATCATATTGACGTCCATAAATATTTCGAAGAGATGACTTTAGTCTCAAAGTCGTCTGTTTATTACTATGTTTGGTTGGCACTAGTTCATGTAACTTAAATTTAACACTACGGGTATCACTAGTGGAGCAGGATCAGCCTACCCTTCCGGAGCACCTGAGATCATCCCGGTTTTGGTGGAGTTCGTGTTGCTCAGTCTTTAGTTTCCTATGTTGTGTTTTGTTTTTTGTACTGTTGTTTGTCTGTTTGTGGTTTTTCGTTTTTTGCCAAGGCATTGTCAGTTTGTTTTTTAACTTATGAGTTTGAATGTCCCTTTAGTATCTTTCGCCTCTCTTTTGCAGAATGGTATAGGGGCAACGTACTTTATTAAATAAATAAGATTGAGTAGAAGCATTACCATCTCATCAGGGTTCCTTAATACTAACAATATAAGTAGGTGACTGAACTTCTATAGTTATCTCAATCTTTCATTCAGTGTCTAATGTAAACAGTATCATCAACATTAGCAGGAAACCTAATAAATCCACTCCGATAAAAGTCTAAACCTAATATCACATTCTCAGCTTAAAGATTAAAAAAGAAGAAAATTGATTAAGCGTAAATTAAGGTCATGCATTAAGTTTTATTTAACACTACAACAAAAAGAATCAGGTGGTTTGATGATAAAATTATTACCCTTAAAAAATTTGTTACTGTGCAATATTTTTCATGATGAGGATAATGTCTGTTTATATTCTTTTAAATAAATTGACTGGTTATTTGCGCTACAACTTTCTATTGACTGGTTATTTGCGCTACAACTTTCTATTACCCTACATAAACATAGCTACTTGTGCTATACAGTATCTTTTTTTACGATCTGTTCTTCCTAAAGTTCATATATAAAAGGAGGAGATATGAGAATTACACTTTGATGGCCACTTAAATTCGAAAATTAAAAAGTATTTTAAATTTACGAAAGCATGTCTGTATAATTATAAAAAAAACAAATAATCATATAATTCGCGCGTGTCATCTATGAATATAAATATGTATTTAACATTGATGACAACATTTAAAACACTTTGTTCAGCCCACATCGTGACCTGGTTTGTGGTAACCAAGCAAGCATTTAGGTTTACTATATAGTATAGTAATAATTGCATCGAATGATCAGTCTATTTTTTTGTTGTTGACAAATTGGAAAGCACTAAAGCTAAGATTAATAAGAGCATCTAGCGGAGAATTGAGTTTGTATAATAGTCACCAATACAAGCTCAAATATTTTAAATCTCAATATTTTCGGAAGATGTTCAAATCCTAGTTTTTTTTTATTAATACTGTTGTTTGCACACTAACTAACCAATTTAGTATTTTTATTTTCTATTTCAGCTTTATTCGGAATAATTTTCATGCATAAACAGGAAGCAGCGTTTGCCTCCTACCGGATGTTCTATGCCACCGGATGTGCAATTGCTTTTGGATACAGTTACTTCCTGTGTGTTGAAACCAAAGTATTAATTTTAGCCGTTGTATTAATTATAGGACTAATATGCTACTGCGTCATCGAAATGAAAGTCCAGTTACAAAGTCAACATATAAAAGATATTGTTGCGTTATAACAGTTTAGCTAACTTTGTACCTTAAATTTGCATTATATTGATGCTATATTAAATATCTTTATTGTAATGAAATCAGAACTAAAAAAAATATTGGAACTACAGTTTTGTAAACAATTTACCTTCGTGTATAGATGATTCCAGACAATGAAAACAATACCGACATACTGGTTATTGAAAGGACGGAGAGTCAACCACGATTTCTTCTGATTAGAGGTTGTAAAAAATTTAAATAATTTTTGTGTGCTCGACACATGGTTTTAGATTATCATTATCCTTCATCAGTTTTCTCGAGACTAAATTTTTGAAAATCCAAAAATTACAAAACGTTTGACAACATAAAATCAAGAATGGCATATGCAGTATTGCAAAAATCTATATTGTTAACATTGCCGAAGGGAATTGCAACATTTTAGATTCTAGCACAATTGCATAATTTAAAGAACGGGTGATTAATCACACAATGTATCATTTAAAGCTTGACTTATTGAGGTATAGGAACACTCGACATGTAGTGTATACATAATATTGTAACAACATTTTTGCTTGGAATGGTTTAAGATGGAGAAGCCAGTAGTTGAAATACAACCAGCAGTGTTGTAATTAGGAGGAACACATCTATTTATAACAGCCATAATACAATCACAAAACATGGGGCACAAACTATGATACAACCACAAAACATGGGGCACAAACTATGATACAACCACAAAACATGGGGCACAAACTATGATACAATCACAAAACATGGGGCACAAACTTTGATTCAACCACAAAACAAGGGGCACAAACTATGATTCAACCTCAAAACATGGGGCACAAACTATGATTCAACCACAAAACATGGGCACAAACTATGATTCAACCACAAAACATGGGGCACAAACTATGATTCAATCACAAAACAGGAGGCACAAACTATGATTCAACCACAAAACATGGGGCACAAACTATGATTCAACCACAAAACAAGGGGCACAAACTATGATTCAACCTCAAAACATGGGGCACAAACTATGATTCAACCACAAAACATGGGCACAAACTATGATTCAACCACAAAACATGGGGCACAAACTATGATTCAATCACAAAACAGGAGGCACAAACTATGATACAACCACAAAATATGAGGCACAAAATATGATACAACTACAAAACATGGGGCACAATTTTAATCTGAAACTCATCATCGATACCAGGATTGATATTTTGTAAGCCAGTACGCCAGACTCGCGTTTCGTCTACAAAAGACTCATCAGTGACGCTCGAATCAAAAAGTTTGAAGAGCATTGAGGACCCAAAATTCCTAAAAAAAATTGCCAAAAACAGCTAAGGTAATGTATTGCTGGGGTAGAAAATCATAGTATTTCGATTTTTTTTTTTTTTTTTAAACAGTTAATTTATCACTATAACCATATCAATGATAATTCATGTCAACACAGAAGTGCTGACTACTGGAATGGGGATACCCACGGGGAAAAAAACTCCACCAGCAGTGGCATCGACCCAGTGGTTGTAAATAAACTCATTATATACCAGGGTTGGAAATTTGTCCGCCAGACGCGCGTTTTTGAGTTTGTAAATTATGTAACTATGATAAATAAAGGTCGAAAATATCATTAAAATAACAATAGTTGTAACTATTCTATAAAAGCCCTTTTAGTTAGCATTATAAATGAAAATAACACTTTATTAGTTTTGTGAGTCCGAAGAGCTTTTCATCAGGAAAGCTCAAATCCAATTTTTTTAAATATTAATAAATTATTAACATTTTAGACATCAAAGGTTTACCAAGCGTTTGATCTCGGAGCGTTCCCAAGCAATATTATTCGACAACACGTGATGAGTACTGTAGCTGTTTCACATGGTTTATTATGTAGACGAAACTCGCGTCTGTTATGTACATGCACGTGGTATCTCTGGTGATGTTATTCTCTCCCTAATGTTTTGTAGTTTTTGTTGCTCTTTCATTCAGACAATATAACTTAAAAATAAAAGAAACAAAATGATGACTCTGCTCAATTTTCCACACTTGTGACAAAGTGTGGAAAGCCAAAATGAATAAACGGTCGAAACCATTAAAACCGAAAGCGCCTATAGCTAGACACAACAGCCCAAACAATTCAAGTCAAATTTGCTAGAGGATATTGCAAACTCAGTTTTAGCTAAAATAAAAAAAAATCATGAACTGGAAATTTCCAACTAAAGTATCACATTGGCAAATTACAAATTGACAGTTCACGGGGAAGTAAGTATCATACTTTTCAAAATCATATAACTAAACATCATGTTAATATCATTATCTTGGACATTCAAGTGTCATTGATTTCGTAATGAAATTCTTGAATACAAAGAACAAATATGTTTTGTTTACTTAATCATGGCTTTACGTGAAATAAATGATTGAATAACATTGGATTTGATAGAAACCAGAATTTCCTTGAATACGATTCCAATTCTAATAACGAGAATTTTAAAGAACAAAATTAAATAAACAATTTCTATGGATGAATATCAATGCGTTCAATAGACATTCATTCGATTTTATCATTGTACATTGTAAAAGCTATTCTGGTATTAGAGAGAGGCAATCAATTATTATCGATGAAAGTATGCCAAATTCTTTACAATACTCAATCTTATTGATTAAAAGTTTTGGTTCCATATATTTGCTAGGGTTTATGAAAACTCCCCGGCAGTTCCAGCTCCGATCCGCATACCAGTACTGCTGCATTCGAGTACTCTTAAAGGAAAATAGTTGGAGAACGGAAACGATCATTTTACGGAGTTTGGGATGTATGTGGTACTTGTCACATGTGATCTGACGGGGTCGTTATTATCGATAACCCTGTCTTAAACTGCACGCAGATTGCAACGCGACACAAAAAAGCGTCAGCGGCTCTTTTCACAAAAAATCTTAAGAGTAAAAATACTCGTAAGTCATACACATTTCAGTATAACTTACGATCAATTTTAGTCGTAAGATTTTTTGTGAAAAGAGTCGCAGAATAGTAGATCTTTTAATATAAAACACATTAGATCACACCCTGTTTAATAATAGGGGATACGTTGCTCAAGAAAGCAGCTCTTCTACAACATATAATCGTCTGTTTCTAAATGTCAAGCCCTCAAGTTCTTTCACCACACAACTCGTTTGGTTTGTTTGTGTAGTTTGGTTGCTCTTTCATTGACATATACACTTTCCAAGGAAAAAATACACCCATGGAACGTATGGAATAGATTATACGTTAGTACCGACATTACGACTAGTACGTTATACGTACGTAGGGATCAACATAAACGTACAAACACATTAGAGTTGTCTCTCTTCTAACAAAAAGATAAAGGTTTTTCGGAATAAAATCCAAATATAACAAGTATTCTATACTATGGGACAGGTGTTGAGGATATGTGCATGCATAGCTGGAGATACCTACTCTGTCATACCACATTGTCGTATTCCGGTTTGGACTGACCTATTGTTTTCATTCAAATATTTCATTCTCATCATCTGAACTGTATGAGATTGAAGTGATTTTAGAATAGGAATATGCGTGTACGGAATATTCACATGTTGAAGTGACTAAAAAACAGATATAACACAACGTACGAACTCATTGGTATATGAAACAGATATTAAAAATAGCTAGTTCAATATTTCTAAATACACTTTATAATTAACATGGCGATTTAGAACATTAACATTATGTTAGCTATTTTTTATTGATATCTTTAATAAGTCTTTACAATAATTGATATCATTTCACTTAAACATGTTAAAGAAAATATGTAATTAAATCTTTGTTCTTTGTTTTAGGAATAAAAAAAATACAAATCGGATAATAACTCTTTAAGTTTTGTAAATTTTGTTTTACCCTCCAGGGTGTCTTTTCAGACTTCGTTAAATTGTAATTTTTCGAGAGAAAAAATTGCAACAACAAAAATAACCGAAAGTTGCTATTATCTATTTAATCGAGAATCTGAGAACGTTCTACCTTATGATAAAAACCATATATAAATTAAGAAATAATTCATGGGGGCTTGAATCTATACTGATTTTACCACGGGTTGGCCCTTTATGCTAAATATTTTACCACGAGCGATATTCTTTTGGACCGAAGCGCTCTAGGTGAAGGCAAATATACAATGACACACTATTATATTGACGTAAAAGAACGGAGCAAACTGAACTAGCGACATATTTAAACTATTTAAAATAACGTATTTAGATAGGTTTGGATGAATTTAAATGATAATTTTACTTATATGTAAAATAAATGGCTTATAACACATTTTATCATCGTTTGTTTATGTTTCCTTGTTTTGGTGACTCTGTTTCACAATCGTGCATTTTCCCGTAAAATGCTAATATTCTTACGTCATCGTTCAATGACGTCGGGTAGCTCATTCATAAAAAAAACATATGACGTGGGAGTATGATCGGAACAGCCCAAACAATATATTCATATTTTACCACGAGTGTGTACTCAAAGCGTTTGAAGAACGTCATATTAGAATCCTTGTCAATTGATAACTAATTATGGATCTATCCGGCCTGTAATTTATTACCCAAAGACGCCCGTTTCGTCTCCACAAGACTGATCAGAAGCGATCAAATCAAAACAGCTATAAGTTAAAGGAAGGCCAAGAAAAAGACGAAGTTGAAGCTTTGAAAACCAAAAGTTCCAAATCTGTCTTAAGATGCTCTGAAAAGAAGCGTTTCCAATTCTCATATCAAAACAATGCTTCACTTGGCTTTGTTAAGGATGATCATTGGTATATATTTCCTCAGATAGAATTTTCGGATACTTTGCCAAAATGTACATTTTAACCCTTTCACTGCCACACTGATTCAATACTTTGCCACGGCATATTTTGGGTATACGAAAAACAGCTGTACCGCCTATGACGTCCACAATGAAGGAACGTCACGGAGAGGGGCACAGATGGAGGTGTGCACAGAACATCAAGTATTTTGGGGTTTTTAAGATTTTGATCCGAAGCGCAGCAGATGAAATGCGAGTCCTACGTATTTGAGGGGTTCCGTAGTAATTTCAAGCGATACATTTATGATATTTATGATTTGAAATGTTTTCAAATTTAACCTTGTAAAAGTATATCATTTAAACTTAAATATTGAAAATCGAACATTTATTGAGCATGCCAATTCAACCTATTAATGTATTAGCTTTCTGTACCGGCGTGCGAATACTCTCATGTATATACCTTTTGTGTTTTTGATAGTCGTTTTTGTGCTTGGTATCGATCTCTTTTCAAGTGATACGGGAGACAGATTTATAAAATCCCGCTAACATGTTTAACCTCGCCACATTCTGTATGTATGTGCCTGTCCCAAGTCAGGAGCCTGTAATTCAGTGGTTGTCGTTTGTTGCTGTTTAACATATTTGTTTTTCGTTAATTTATTTGTACATAAATTAGACCGTTAGTTTTCTCGTTTGAATTGTTTTACATTTGTCATTTCGGGGCCTTTTATAGCTGACTAATATATGCGGTATGGGCTTTGTTCATTGTTGAAGGCCGTACGGTGACCTATAGTTGTTAATTTCTGTGTCATTTGGTCTCTTGTGAAGAGTTGTCTCATTGGCAATCATACCACATCTTCTTTTTTATATTATAAAAGTTTTTTCAACTTTTCCGAATCCCATATTTGAATTTTATGTAAAATTGTACTACAGTAACTGCAGGGTTACAATTTTCCAATAATAACTACGGTTTAAACCAAGTGATATTTATAATTTTTTTCTTATGGTGTGATGTTAATACACCACTGTCACAGGTTAGAGGAGGGTTGGTACCCACAAACATGTTTAACCCCTTTTCATTCTATATTTGCCTGACCTAATTCAGGAGCCTACATGCAATTGAGTGGTTGGCGTTTGTTGCTGTTTATTATATTTTTTTTTGTCGTCTATTGTTTTGTGCATAAATCCGGCCGTTAGATTTCTCGTTTGAATTGTTTGCATTTGTCATTTCACGGTATGGGTTATGCTCATTATTGAAGGCCAAACGGTGACCTTTAGTTGCTTACTTCTACGTCATTTGGTTTCTTGTGGGGAGTTGTTGCATTTATGGGTAATTGATAGTCATACCACATCTTCTAATTTTTATCTCTTGTGGACATTCATAAAGAACGATTATTTTATGCAAATCTGTGATCTCTTAAAAGTTCGTTAGTTTCAACAGTTGGTCATCGGATTCACAGTATGAACATTTTGAAAGTAAGATTGACCCGGCAGAAGTTGAAGTAAATTATTCCGAATACACGACACGTACAACATTTAGTTTAAACCGTGGTAGAATAATTCTATTGAACATTTATCATGCAATTAACATGAATCACCATGATAAAACAGTTTGATGGACTGCGATTGCGGACTTTCAGGATTTCTCTCATCCTGTCAATAAATAACTCGCCAAATATTTAGAGACCCATTTTAATTTTTCTTTGATTGAAAAATACGGGTATCAATGTGTTTGGAGGGTGTTAAATTTGAAGATATAAAATTTAAAAGTAGATATCTGGTATCTTCCGCCATCTCGGATTGTAAAATACTAGAAAACAATCGGTCTAGATCTTTAATGAAATAATATGTATTTTAAATGAGGAATGCAATTCATTTATAAGACTTTTCATCTAACTGAAGATAATTGTAGTTATTTGTTTTATTGTATTATTCCGATTATTTAAAAAAAAATTGCAAAAGCTGTAGCTTGATAAATATCTCCGTGACCTCACTTTTTATTAGGCTATAGTTTTGAAAACCACACGAGTCTTCATTTAATCAAAGTAAGAATACATTGTATCTTTTTTTTATTATTTAAACCCCTCCTCTACATTACTTGAATAGTTATGAATAGTTGTCCTGTTTGCTTCTGTCACATTTTTCATGAGACGCGGCCATTATTTTACGATGTTGTCTACAGTTTACGATGCTGTCTACAATTATGAAGTCATATTTTAGCATTACGTCAAAAACATATGACGACAGCAATGGCAAGTCTGTCCCCTGCAATAAACAGAAATCGTCCTGCATTGAAACCCCGTGTCGAGCCTCAATGTATTGTCCTTACCCATCTGTGACGTAATGTGTATTGTTACAAAACAGACGACATAGGCAATCGTTGCTAAGCCTAAATAAAGACCGTTGGCATTTGAAAGGAGTACAGAAAGCCTAAATATAGGCTTTACGGCATAGTAAGGGTTAATAAAATGTATGGGTCACCGTGCTATTTTTCAAGCTACAAGTCGTGCAAAACTGCCAAAATTTGCATAGATTGTTCATGAAAAAACACGTTTTTGTGAATAAAAAGAAATCTATGAGATGGAATTTTGAAATAAAATATGAGAAGCTAGGTTTTAAAATATGCTTTAAGAAAAAAAAAAATATGGTGTCACCGACCTTGTTTTCTTGCTAAAAGTAAAAAATGAAAATTTCTCTATCATTTCCTTATAAACATTTTACTATTTGAGTTATCTACCCTTAAATGGTTAAGTTGACAATTTGATTCAAACAAACACAAACATTTGGAATTTGTTAAAAGAATGCAATAAACCAATTATTTTTCTTTATTCAAATAAACAGCCTAACACATAATAATCAATCTGTCTCAAAATTTACAGATTTAAGCTAAGAACTAGACTGTCTGTGAACTGCTATTTTACAATCCAAGATGGCGGTATATAGTTTATCTACCTTAAAAATAAATATAGTTATGTTTCTTTGCGCACAACTGGAAGCAGATGGGTATATATATATATATCAGGGGTTTGTCTATATTACAAGTAATATAAATGTAACAATGTAACAGTCATATTTTTTTCCGTGTCTTAAATGTATATTTCACATAAGGAGCTTGCTACGTATTCAGGATTAACGTTTGACCAGTGACCACCACCCTCCAATATATCCATTACTATGTGACTATTCTGTGGATCATTGACAGGTTGACGTTCGTTCCAATTGTTGAATTCCATCTCATTCCCGTCTTCAAAAAACCAGGAATCATCTTCAAGTCCTCTATACCCTTGTATGTGGACGAGTTCGGCTGGATGCCAGTCTACAATTCATAATGTTATATACTATCATCAAAAGAAGTCTCTTTTCAAAATAGTTCTTATCCTCTTTTTATAAACTTTCAGCATTAAAAGCATATTTTCTATACATCACAAGCATCCCCAGAGTAAAGTTCAGATTGTAGTCTTAACAATTTTTATTTAAAGAATGTCTATACCTAGAAAATTAATGGTCACAAAGAGGTGTGCTTTACTACATCCTATCGAAGGAAAGACTTTTTCTTCGTTGGGACTTTTGAATGAATATTGGTTTTTATTTATAATGCAACGCAACTGATAAGTGTTTCGTATTTTATGCAAATTGATTCATTTATTATATTATGTATTTAAATTCGAAATTTTTATTGGTCCATTAAATCGAATAATCAGTTATTGAATATATCTGCATTCGTGAACTTTTTTGCGTGCACCTGTATCAATCAATGAGTAAATCAATCATGCAACCAATATTAAATGATATCCCAGTATTAGAACTCATTCCCAGGACAGCGATCGAAACATAATTAAACATTAGGTCTCGTAATATGAACACTTTAATTATCTATACTATCAGGAAGTTATGTGCTAATTCATTTCAATAAGTAGTACCTAAATACTGATTTACATGTTCCTGTTTGTCATCACTATCAATCTTGATCAATGATGCGTTTTGCTGTTGACAAACCTGTACTGCTGTACCGTGATTTACCAACGTGCCAAAGAATCTAAAACAGGAAACATTACCGTAATAATAGTAATCATCTGGACATTTCTTTGTGTCAGCTGAAAATAGAGAAACAAATAATTGATGTGGGGAAAACAAGCAATAGGTCAAATGTCAAATTACACAACAACGAATACTATAACACTTCAAAATACTTCTCTAAATTGTAAGGGGATGGTCATTCGGGTGTCGGCAATGGCTGGCGTATTTTGTTGCGGACCGAATTTTCATTTTGATTGTTCTTAGACCGGCTTACTTTTTTTTCGTGGGAAAGATCGAAAATGTATTTTCACTCTTGTACATAATTACTTCTTGCATTTTCTGTGACAGAATACTAGTATTCATTTTCATCTAGTGTTGGGCAAGAGTATACTGTTCAGTTTTTACAAGGCCAGTACAGTCATCTAACAAAAATCCTCCTGCTGTTGACTTGCGTATTTTATCATAGCCCTGTAGAATAAGGAATAACTTTACACGAGCAGTTACCTTCCATGTAAGGGACAGGTTTAATGTAGACAGCACCCGTTATCACATCTGCATCGTCTTTACTGGTAAAAACGCTTGAATGACAAGAACAATCTTTGTCATGATATGATGCACTTCCTGTCATGTTTTGTCCAATACATTCACGTGCACACTGGATAACAGTTGATGACGTCAGTGTTCTCGTCAAGTTCAAGCTAAATTTATAATTATAGTGTAGTTGTAACTTTACAATGCTGGTATCTAAAAAAAAAACAAAAAAAAAAAAAAAAAAAAGATTTATGGCTACTCTCACTTTCAAGTAAAAGATAGCAATGATATACTGAGTTGACGAAGAAAAGCTAACAGCACTACATGAAAATGAACAATGAACAAATGAAAAAAAAAAGTACGGTCATTACATATATACACATAACACTATAGACGGGGTGAGCACAGGTGTGTGAAGGGTTAACATGGGCTGTTTCGCAAAACTTACTTCTCTCTCTATTACAAATATAAGGTGGAATGATTATGAGGATTATACCAACGGACTGGTAGATGGAGTAATGTGTGTCTTGTGACCTTAAAAACTTAGTGGAAAGTTGAAATTAATCTAATGACATTTTATGGAAGATCGTGACCAATGAAAACGAACACAGATCTTGTTCATGACTGAAAACAACGAATTTATACTTGGAATGAGCTACACGACGGATGCAACTATTGTGGCAAAAAGAATAAGAGTTAACCCCGGTTTATGTGGTGTTCGTGTTTCTGAGTATGTAGCTTTCTGGGTAACCGTATTGATTTGTGAATAATTTTTGATTTTCGTATTTCGTTTTTGAACCATGGTATCTTTTCTTTTTATGTAGGATTCTTATCGAACTTGAATCTTGTATAAACAGAAAATTCTTCTCATATGAATATACATGCTCCTAAAATATTGAATCAAATAAATTCAAATTTACAAGTGGAACATTGAAGCAATCTTTTTTTTATCGTCATCAAATATCACGGTCGTTATCTAGGTGCAGGGTACTTTTCAATTTGACCATGTTGATCATAATTATGATAAGAAGATGTGAAGTGTATATAAGACAACTTTTTTCAAACAAAGCAAAAATCACTGTTCTTTTGGCATATAAATATTTCATAGACTATTTTTTGCTCACCTGGCCCAAAGGGCCAAGTGAACTTTTCTCATCACTTGGTGTCTGTCATCCGTCGTCCGTCGTCGTCGTCGTTAACTTTTACAGAAATCTTCTCCTCTGAAACTACTCGGCCAAATTTATCCAAATTTGACCACAATTATCATTAGGGTATCTCGTTTTAAAAATGTGTCTGATGGCCCCGGTTGCCAACCAACATGGCTGGCATGACTAAAAATAGAACATAGGGGTAAAATGCAAGTTTTGTCTATTATCTTGAAAACCGCTATAGGTTGCAATTCTGTAAATATAGACAATGTAATTTCACATAGGAACTCCCTTTGCGGCTAAAACTGTGCCACTTTTACTAGGAAATTTCGTGAAAAATTATATCTCAGAACGGAAAGTTGATATGCACTAGTATTTTATTCAAAGGTCAAAATATAGGGCTATGAGGCATATTTTCAACATTTATATGCCCTGAACTTCTAAGAGTTTAAACTTATACTAAAATTCTATACTACCCCTACCTCTACTTTTGGACCTCCTAAGAATTAGATTTTAGGCGCTACCATTTTATTGTATACTGGTAACATTCTCAAGTTATGTCTCTATGAGAAGAAACACAGAGATCATATCTGGGAACCAGTACGTTAACAAATTATATATCTCCCCAAAAGAGGCGTGGCTTGTGAAAAAGCTGTATTTACAAAGTGCAACCTATAAATAGAGAAAATGTTGGAGAGTGTTCATTGTTGAAGATGCACATAGCCCTAGGTGAGCGACACAGGCTCCTTAAATTGCCATTAAAGGGCTACACGGGTTATTTAGTGTGCATCACATTTTTTATGTTATTTCTTCATAGACAGAAGAAATATTACAGTCATTCCTTTAAAAGCTCAAAAACTATAAGAGATCTACAAATCAGTTTAGTTGTTTAACTCGTTTGACGACCCCTTACAGGGCTATTGCCCTTAATATCGATTTTTGTCATTTTTATTGCATTATTGCCTAATATCTCAAAAACTGTAATAGATGGATAGAAACTTAAATAAGCAAAAATTATCAGCAAGACAATATATATAAAAATGTATAATGACCAAAATCGTCAGTTCACTCCTTATTGGAGTTATAATTGCTCTTTAATGGCGATTTTCATCCATTTTTAGTGTTCTGCCTCTTATGTTGAAAACTATTATAGATAGCCACTTTAAATAGCAAGATGATGAGCAAGACTAGATCTACAAATAAGTCAACATTTTATAGTGTGTCTTTCTATGTTGTGATGTTACACTATTGTTTCAGGTAGGGTGAAGGCTAGCGCCTATTAAAACGTTTAAACCCGCTGCATTTGTTTGCACCTGTCCTAAGTCAGGAACCTGATGTTCAGTGGTTGTCGTTTGTTGATGTGGTTCATAAGTGTTTCTCGTTTCTCGTTTTTTATTTAGATTAGACCGTTGGGTTTCCTGTTTGAATGGTTTTACACTAGTCATTTTTTAGGGCCCTTTATAGCTTGCTGTTCGGTGTGAGCCAAGGCTCCGTGTTGATGGCCTTACTTTGACCTATAATGGTTTACTTTTACAAATTGTGACTTGGACCTAACCATGTGCCTGTCAGGGCTAGGAATCGGTCCTAGTACTTAAAATCTTTCAGTCCTTTATGGGTGGATTTAACAAAGATAAAAAAAATCGTATAATAAAAAAGCAATGAATGAGTTTGTTAAATTTGATATATGCCTTTTTGTGTTTCTTTGTTGACATATTTGTTTGTCTTTATAGTGATTAAGATTATAACACAATGTTGACTGCTGTACCCCTATTTTTGTCATTTTTACCTATTATGTCTGTTTGTTTTGTTCACGCATCGTTGTCAATATAATGGAATTTGATGCGACTGTCATACAAGTGAGAGGTTAAAAAATTAGCTAGCTATAAAACCAGGTTCAATCCACTATTTTCTACATAAGAAAATGCCTGTACCAAGTCAGGAATATGACAGTTGTTAACCATTCGTTTGATGTGTATGAGCTTTTGATTTTGCCATTTGATTAGGGACTTTCCGTTTTGAATTTTCCTCGGAGTTCAGTATTTTTGTGATTTTACTTTTTTTTTGGATGGAGAGTTGTCTCTTTGGCACTCATACCACATCTTCTTATATCTATATAGCTAAAATCATCAGTCAACTTATTAGAGTTCTTGCTCTTTTGTGATGATTTTTACCAATAGTTTACGTTTTTGCCTATTATCTTGAAAAAACTATAAGTGGTAGATGACATAGACACTTTAAATAGCAAAACGTATCACACAAGTCAGCAAGACAAGATCTACACATAAGTAAAATTTTGCCAAAATCGTTAGTAGACGGCCTTTGAATGAGTGATTACTCTTAAATAGCAATTTGTTTACCATTTTTTGTGTTTTTGGGCAAAAACTAAAGAAGATAGAGAGAAACTGTAAACAGAAAAAAATGATCAGCAATACAAGATCAACAAAAAAGAGATTTTTGTCATGAATTCTATTCTAGTCCACAATTTTGGAGAGTGTTCATTGTTGAAGGTAGTGTGTTCGCCTCGAGTGCGGGAGGTCATGGGTTCGAACCCCGGCCAGGTCAACCCAAAGACTTTAAAATTGGTATTTTCTGCTTCTCCGATAAGCACGCGGCATTAAGGAGTAAGAGCAAAAACTGGTCGGCTCGGAGTCAGAATAATGTGTACGGGTAAGGTGACATATCTACCTGCGGACTGTTACCTTGTGAACTAGCACGTTAAAAATCCGGTTCAGCGTGTCGGTCTAGTACAACGCAGGGTAAATATTCATATTACATTAACATGTTCTCGTTCTGAATATGCATATTAATTTGCCGCTGGACGTTCAGCAGCCATCCATCATCATCGTCATCTAAATGGGAACCATTAGCAATATTATTATTATTGCTTTAGGACTTTTGGTATTGCTATATATCACATGGTTTTTAAAGTTAAGTACGTTTTTTTAATCCGATGATCGAGATGAAATAGGGACGATATATACAAAAGTAGTTTAAACCCCGCCATATATTTTTTTGTATGTCCCAAGTCAGGTCCGTGGTTCTCGTTTGTCATATGCAAATATAAAAATAAGGAGATGAGGTATGATTGCCAATGAGACAACTATCCACCAAAGTTCAAATAATGTGGATGTAAGCAATTATAGGCAACCGTACGGCCTTCAACAATGAGAAAAACTCATACCATATAGTCGGCTATAAAAGGCCCCGACATGATAATATGAAACAATTCAATTGAGAAAACTAACGGCCTACATTATAATAAAACAATTTACGAAAAACAAATATGACAGTCATGCTCTTTATGCTGAGTACACACGTAATTCGAATTCGATTCGCATTAACTAATTCGAATTAGTTTAATTCTCATTCGAAAGTTTTACGTCCTAACGTCAATTCTAATTCGAATTGCAATGCGCGTCAAATTCGCTTTACTGTCCGAACGACGTTATCTTTTAATTCGTATTAACAAAAACGTATTTCTAATGCGAATTGGATAATTCGAATTAGCCAATTCGAATCAATTCGAATTAAAAAGGAAGAGTGTGTGAACGCGATTGGCGAATTCGATTCGCATTCGCATTAGCCATTCAATTCGAATTAGTGCCTAGTTCACACGTACATTTAATTCGAATTGAATTCGAATCGAATGCGAATCGAATTCGCTAATCGCGTTCACACACTCTTCCTTTTTAATTCGAATTGATTCGAACTGGCTTATTCGCATTAACCAATTCGCATTAGAAATCCGTTTTTGTTGATACGAATTAAAAGTTAACGTCGTTCGGACAGTAAAGCAAATTTGACGCGTATTGCAAATCGAATTAGAATTAACGTTTGGACGTAAAACGATTCGAATGCGAATTAAACTAATTAGTTAATGCGAATCGAATTCGAATTACGTGTGAACGCAGCATTAATGTACGTGTGAACGAGGCATTAGTTTTGATGGCATATCTTTGATTATTTCTGTTTAATAAGTTCATTAGGCGTACAGACTCAGGACATTTAGAGTAGCAAACATTATAGACACCTGTATATTGTTAAAATCTTATGTTGCCCTC